CTAAAAAAAAAGATAGGTAACAGTTCCCCTCACCCTTGGATTAGTGTTACACATCAGGTGGGGAGAATCGGAGAAAAGGCAAGGAACGGCAGTTATATGGGTATTGTAGGCAGACGAGGCATAGTAAAAACCAGATGTTGAGTTTTTTTTTAACTTTTTTGCTGGTTTTTTAAAAAACCTTTCGCCATTTTGCAACACCCCAATTCATAGAATCTTGGTTCAGAGGACATCTAAAGACCTTTTTAAAACCTAAAAAAGTAACCCATCCTTTGGGTGGCCCCTACCCCACTGGGGAGCCCCGCCTCCCAGTGACTAGCCCTCGTCTGCTACACGCCCCTATCCACTGACGCCTTAAAACCCCGCCATCCCCTTTGCCTTTGTTTCAGATCTCCACCACCACATGCTGGAACACAAACTCCAAGGGTGGGGGACTGTTTTACCCATCTTTTGATATTTTACGTTTCTAATTATGCCCAGAATCGTTTTTGATAAACACTGGATGGCGAAACATCTACAATAAAGATATCCAGAGTTTACATGTGTTTTAAGGTACTGACTTCTCACCTCCAGGGCTGTAACTTTCCCCCACCCATCCTTTCAAGTACGGGTATGTATTTCACCCCCAGGCGTAACTTTCCCCAACCATCTTTCAGATACGGGTGAGAATACAGTGCCTGCACTCTAAAGGGAGGGTGGGGAATGTTAAACCCTGGAGGTAATGCCTCACCAAAAGGGGGAAAGGGGGGGGACTGTTAAACCCTGGAGGGAGAAGTACAGTGCCGCACTCTAAAGGGGATGGGGGGGGAATGTTCAGCCTGGGGGTGAGAAGTACTCCTGCATGTTGGAGGATATAGGTTTGAACTGTAGTATTGTCCCCCCCTCTGGTAAAGCAGTGATGGATACAATGAGAATGTTTCTCTTTTTTTTGGGGTCACCTTGCCTCATTTTAAAAAAAAAAAAAGTTGGCCCCGTCTTGAAAAATATTACAGGCGGTTAGAAAAGAAAATAGGGAAAAAAGAATTAAAAATAAAAACCCTGTCTGTGGACTATGTGGCGAGAGCACAAGGTGACACAGCACTTGGTTTTGCTCTCTGGACTTTAAAAATACTGCCTCCCCCAAAAAAGCACCCTAAATTAAAAAAAAGGTTTCAGTATATTTTTAAATTTTTAATATATCACACTTTTTGTCAAAGGCCCTAGTTTTCCGGGGAAATAATTTCCCTCTTTCCTACAATTTTCTAACTTGAGCCCCTATCCTGTAAAAATCTTCATTGCTTTTCAGCCCCTACCCCTTACCATACCCCCTGCAACATCTCCCCACTTCCCCCCTTTTTTCCCCCTGTCATACCCTTTTCCAAACCCATAAATCCCCAAAAAAGACCTCTTAGCCTTATCAAAGGAACAGTTTTTAGAAAAGGCTGGGTTGGGTTTTATGGTTTTGGGAAAAGGCGTATGACAGGGTGGATGGGGGCAATGTGGCAATGTGCGGGTGTTGGTGTAGGAGGTTATTTTTTTATTATAAACCTGACCGTTTTCCCAAACCAAGGCGGGTGGCCCGAAAAAAAAAATTTTTCATCATCATTCCTCCATCACTGTTTTCCCAGAAGGGTGCTTTACCTACAGTTTTTAAACTGAAACATTAACACCCCCCTTCGAGCACCTGTACTTCCCATTCCAGGCTCAAGTCCGGCCTGCTGGTTCCCTAAACCCCCCTTCATAAATTTTACTTTCTCACACTCCAACACACGCAAGTATTAAAAACCTTTTGTCTCCTTCACTCTATAAAACACGTAGGGGGTAGGTTACGAAAGCAGTGAAGGTTTTTAAGGGGATAGTGAGGCTCAAGTTAGAGTAGGTGGGAAAAGGGGGAAATTTTTTCCCAAAAACGTAGGCCTTAGACAAGGATGTTATGTCACCGGGTTGTTTTAAAATTTTTAGTGGGGGTTTTAAGAGAATAAATGCGGGGTCTTGGGAAGAGGGTGGGGTTAAAAGATAAAGAATCACACAAAATGGAAGTTGTCACAGTTGTCTTTGCTGATGACACGTGCTCTTGGAGTTTTGAAGAGGTTCAGAGATTGGGGATGAATTTGTAGGGGGTGCAAAAAAAGAAAATTAAAAGTGAAAAACAGGAAAAGTAAGGTTTTGGGTAACAAAAGATTTTGGTGAAAAAGATTGGGAAAAGATTTGGGGGAGAAGTATGGAGGAGGTGAATGTATTAATTTTTGGGAGTGGATGCAGCGGTGGGGTTTTGAAAGAGAGGTGAAACTAGAAATGATGGGGGGGGAAAAAAAAGGGGGGGGTGCCCTTGGAGTCTGTGGGACAAAGCTTTTTTTGGAGGCAAAGGGGTTATGGGTATATTTTAAATTTATTTGGGTGTTTGGGGTTATGAAAGTTTGGCGAGGGAAAGGGGAGGGGTGGAGTGTCATTTTGAGAGCAAATGTGCGGTGTGAAAATTTAAAGCAGAGAATTCGTGTTTTGGGGTTTGGGGGAGGTGCGGATTACCAAAACTGTTTTCCAGAGGGGTAGGAAAGGTTTTTTAGGTGGGTTTGGACATGTAGAGAGAATGGAGCGAAACAGAGTGACTTTAAGTGATCAGTCTGAGGGAAGGAAGGGGGGGTGGGGTCCCTAGGAAAAAATTTTAGGGAGGGGGGAAAAGGAGATTTTGGGCGAGGGGCTTGGCTTCACAGGGATGCGTGAGCATTTTTTATAGAGTGAATTTGGGAAAAATGGTTTTAATACTTTACGTACTGTTTGAGTGTGACAAAGTAACATTTATGGGGGTTCAGGGAAAGCAGGGCCCACTTCAGTCCCCGGAGATGGGAAACGTGCCGCCCTGAAGGAGGGGGGTTAATGTTGCAGTTTAAAAAATGTAGTGAAAAACACCCTTCTGGCAAAACGTGAGGAGTGAAGATGGTGAAAGTTTTTCTTTTTTTGGCCCCCTGCCCTTTGGGGGGAAACGGCCAGTGTGTAATAAAAAAAAAAAAAAAAAATAAAAATTTTTATGATTAGATCAGGGTTGTAAAAGAAGTAAAAAATAGGGTGTTTTGGGGGGAGGGGTGGGATTAATTATGGGGAATCAAATTCAAAATGGGAATTGACACAGTTACTTTTTGCTTTATAATGTGCTTTGGGGATTTTTAACGAAAAATTGCAAATTAGTGGGGTTTTTGGGGTTTGGTAAAGGTAGAAATTGAAAAAAACATAGAAAAGATAAGGTGATAAATATCAAATATTTAATAAAGAAAAATTGGGTATAAAGGGGAGGAGGAGTATGGAAGAATGAATGTTTTTTAGATACTTGGGGTTGACGTTCGGTGGGTGGTTTATGAAGGATGAGGTTAAACATAGAAATTTTGAGGGGAAAAAATAGTTGGTGCTTGGGTAATGTGGAGTCAAAAAAAAGTTATCTATGGGGCAAAGAAGGGGAAAGTAGAAAGTATAGGGCCAACATTTTATGGATGTGAAGCTTGGTGGAAAAAACAGCGAGGAACAGTTGGGGCAGTGGAATGTCCTGTCTAAGGGCAAAGTGTGGGGTAAAAAATTTTGCAAAAAATTCGGGAAATGGGAAATTTGGAAAAGGTTAGGTAATTAAAAAATTAGAAGGGCAAAGAGGGTTGTTTAGGGGGGTTTGGTCATTTAGAGAGAATGGATCAAGTAGAATGACTGGAAAGATATAAATCTATAGGGGAAAGGGAAGCGAAGTAAGGGGGTCCCCAAAAGGGTTGGAGAGAGGGGGGAAGGAGGTTTTGTGGGCGGGGCTTGGGCTTCCAGCAACGTGCGTGACATGTTAGATAAGTAATTGAGACAATGGTACTTGGACCTGAGATCTGTTGGGGTTGAGCAGGGAATTTTAGTGAAGGAAATTTAGGGAAAACCGGGTTTTTTTATTAAAATGGACTTGAGTTTTGGAAAAAGGGAAGTACAATGCCTGCACTTTAAAGGAGGAGTTTGGGATATTGGCAGTTTGGAGGGATATGTTGTGTATCTTTATACGTATATGCTTCTAAACTGTTGTATTCTGAGCACCTCTGCAAAAACAGTGATAATGTGTGAGTGTGGTGAAAGTGTTGAATGATGATGAGAGCATTTTCTTTTAGGAGATTTTCTTTCTTTTTTGGGTCACCCTGCCTCGGTGGGAGACGGCCGACTTGTTGGAAAAAAAAAAATTAAATTCTTGTGCAAAAAATATTTAAATTTTCCATTTTATGTCAAAAATCAATGTTTTGGGTCCTATAAAGAAAGGTTTGTAAACAGACTGACTTTAAACTGCAATTTCATACAGCAAGATAACTTTTATGAAAAGATTTGAGGAAACCGGTTAGTCGCATTTGAGTCCTGGATGTGGGAAGTGGTCTGCAAACTGAAGAATGGGTGGAGATATTGCAGCTTGAAGTGGCATTTGAACTGCTATATCGGCATACCTCTGGCAAGACAGTAGAGTAAATGATGGTGAAAGTGTTTCTTCTTGTTCGGCTCACCCTACCTCGGCAGGATACAGCCAGTTCAATCAACAAAATCAACCAATGTTGTACTAACATCTTTCTCACTAAAACTGGCACAAGTACTGTGCTTAATAAAAAATATTAAGGTTAAAAGTATGAGGCAAATATACTGCCAGTAGGCAGTAAGGACTAGGTCAAAGATGGTATCAAATACCAGTTTGTGTGTACATAAGACAAGTGCGGCACAACAACATTCACTATAAAAATGTGGCACTGGAGTGACAAACCTACTTGAGAAACTTCCATAAATATTCTAGTACATTACTAGTCTTATTTATGTTTTAACTTGTTGGCTGTCTCCCACTAAGACATTGTGGCCCAAAAAAGGAACACTTTCACCATCATTCACACTATCACTGTCTTGCCAGACACATACAGATATGACAGTTTAGACGTCCCTCTAAACAGCAAATATCTGAAACCCCTCCTTTAGAATGCAGGCACTGTACTTCCCGACTCAAGTCTGGCTATTTATATACAAGTAAAAACTAGCAGATTTTACCTCTGACACTCTAGGAGAACTCCTCGTAGCAGCTGTGTAATATCCACTGCATATTTATGCTTCTGACCAAACGGCAAGTCACACACAATAGCATCGACAGACTCACTGTGCAGTGGCAGAGCTGCAACATAAATGCCTTACATGAGTGTTTTCATTAAGATTTTTATGTGCATGGATACCTAGAGGGTGTTCTGGGGGTCAATGCCCACTTGACCAATTCAAAGTTTAGATAATTTAATATGTTTATTATGCACCCCATACCCATCCTGTGGGCGGTAGTCAAAAGATTACAGAGTTACATAATTGGTCCAGGGACTGGACTCCAAAGTTTTGATAACTGAGCAAGTTACAGAGATAATGAACTCACAATTTACAAAGGTAATGACCTCACAATTTACAAAGGTAATGAACTCACAATTTACAAAGGTAATGAACTCACAATTTACAAAGGTAATGAACTCACAATTTACAAAGGTAATGAACTCACAATTTACAAAGGTAATGAACTCACAATTTACAAAGGTAATTACCTCAAAATTTACAAAGGTAATGAACTCACAATTTACAAAGGTAATGAACTCACAATTTACAAAGGTAATGAACTCAATTTACAAAGGTAATGAACTCACAATTTACAAAGGTAATGAACTCAATTTACAAAGGTAATGAACTCACAATTTACAAAGGTAATGAACTCCAGGTAGGTCTGGTCACAATCATGACAAGTTACAAAGGTATTTACAGATTACAGAGGTACGTAATGGGTCCAGGGACTGGGCCCCCAAAGTTTTACATTTCAGAGACATGCACATCTGTCAAGATGACTACTGCCATGAGCCAACTTAACTTGGTGAGAAACAGTCGATGAAGTTAAAAAATAAAAATATTAACAGTAAGTGCAGCATTACAGGGAGTGTAAATATTGTAAGTTAAATATGATATGCTAAACAAATAAGTAAATACGTAACTACTGCCACTGCATAAGTAAATAAACAAATAATTACTGTAACAAAATAAATATGTACCAGTACTGAAAGGTAAATACAGTGGTACCTCAAGTTACGAATTTAATTCGTTCTAGAAGGCTGTTTGAATGCCAATACTGAACAAATTTGTTCCCATAAGGAACAATGTAAATCAGATTAGTACATTTCAGACCCCCAAAAATACACTTACATAATTGTTTATGTTGGGAGCTGTTCAAAACTCGAGGTACCACTGTAAATGAATACAAATCTTCCTACCTTCATGTTGGGTAATTATCTTAAAATTCATCTCCAAAGTAAATGCTTTAGCACCATCGAAAAGTTGAAATATTCTAAGTTCAGGACCATCTGTATAGAAAATGAGTCATATAAGACAAATATCCTGTGGTAGCAGGTTGGTAGATAGTAACTGCCCAGGGAGGTACTACTGTCCTGTGGTAGTAGGTTGGTAGATAGTAACTGCCCAGGGAGGTACTATTGTCCTGTGGTAGTAGTTTGGTAGATAGTAACTGCCCAGGGAGGTACTACTGTCCTGTGGTAGTAGGTTGGTAGATAGTAACTGCCCAGGGAGGTACTATTGTCCTGTGGTAGTAGGTTGGTAGATAGTAACTGCCCAGGAAGGTACTACTGTCCTGTGGTAGTAGGTTGGTAGATAGTAACTGCCCAGGGAGGTACTATTGTCCTGTGGTAGTAGGTTGGTAGATAGTAACTGCCCAGGAAGGTACTACTGTCCTGTGGTAGTAGGTTGGTAGATAGTAACTGCCCAGGGAGGTTTAGATTTAGAAAGGACATAGGAAAGTATTGGTTTGGAAATAGGGTAGTTGATGAGAGGAACAGTCTACCTAGTTGGGTTATTGAGGCTGGGACTTTGGGTAGTTTCAAATCTAGGTTGGATAAGTACATGAGTGGGAGGGGTTGGATTTGAGTGGGACTGTCACATCAGAGCTTACTTCTTGGGTGGCATTGAAAATTGGGTTGGGCAAACGTTTTGTTAGTGGGATGAATTGTAAAGGACCTGCCTAGTATGGGCCAGCAGGCCTCCTGCAGTGTTCCTCCTTTCTTATGTTCTTATGTTCTTATGCTGGTAGATAGTAACTACCCAGGGAGGTACTACTGTCCTGTTGTAGTAGGTTAGTAGATAGTAACTGCCCAGGGAGGTACTACTGTCCTGTGGTAGTAGGTTGGTAGATAGTAACCACCTAGGGAGGTACTACTGTCCTGTGGTAGTAGGTTAGTAGATAGTAACTACCCAGGGAGGTACTACTGTCCCGTGGTAGTAGGTTGGTAGATAGTAACTGCCCAGGGAGGTACTAATGTCCCGTGGCAGTAGGTTGGTAGATAGTAACTGCCCAGGGAGGTACTACTGTCCTGTGGTAGTAGGTTGGTAGATAGTAACTGCCCAGGGAGGTACTACTGTCCTGTGGTAGTAGGTTGGTAGATAGTAACTGCCCAGGGGGGGTACTACTGTCCTGTGGCAGTAGGTTGGTAGATAGTAACTGCCCAGGGAGGTACTACTGTCCTGTGGTAGTAGGTTGGTAGATAGTAACTGCCCAGGGAGGTACTACTGTCCTGTGGTAGTAGGTTGGTAGATAGTAACTGCCCAGGGAGGTACTACTGTCCTGTGGTAGTAGGTTGGTAGATAGTAACTGCCCAGGGAGGTACTACTGTCCTGTGGTAGTAGGTTGGTAGATAGTAACTGCCCAGGGAGGCACTACTGTCCTGTGGTAGTAGGTTGGTAGATAGTAACTGCCCAGGGATGTACTACTGTCCTGTGGTAGTAGGTTGGTAGATAGTAACTGCCCAGGGAGGTACTACTGTCCTGTGGTAGTAGGTTGGTAGATAGTAACTGCCCAGGGAGGTACTACTGTCCTGTGGTAGTAGGTTGTAGATAGTAACTGCCCAGGAAGGTACTACTGTCCTGTGGTAGTAGTTTGGTAGATAGTAACTGCCCAGAGAGGTACTACTGTCCTGTGGTAGTAGGTTGGTAGATACTAACTGCGCAGGGAGGTACTATTGTCCTGTGGTAGTAGGTTGGTAGATAGTAACTGCCCAGGGAGGTACTACTGTCCTGTGGTAGTATGCTGGTAGATAGTAACTGCCCAGGGAGGTACTACTGTCCTGTGGTAGTAGGTTGGTAGATAGTAACTGCCCAGGGAGGTACTGTCCTGTGGTAGTAGGTTGGTAGATAGTAACTGCCCAGAAAGGTACTACTGTCCTGTGGTAGTAGGTTGGTAGATAGTAACTGCCCAGGGAGGTACTACTGTCCTGTGGTAGTAGGTTGGTAGATAGTAACTACCCAGGGAGGTACTACTGTCCTGTGGTAGTAGGTTGGTAGACAGTAACTGCCCAGGGAGGTACTACTGTCCTGTAGTAGTAGGTTGGTAGATAGTAACTGCCTAGGGAGGTACTACTGTCCTGTGGTAGTAGGTTGGTAGATAGTAACTACCCAGGGAGGTACTACTGTCCCGTGGTAGTAGGTTGGTAGATAGTAACTGCCCAGGGAGGTACTACTGTCCTGTGGTAGTAGGTTGGTAGATAGTAACTGCCTAGGGAGGTACTACTGTCCTGTGGTAGTAGGTTGGTAGATAGTAACTACCCAGGGAGGTACTACTGTCCCGTGGTAGTAGGTTGGTAGATAGTAACTGCCCAGGGAGGTACTACTGTCCTGTGGTAGTAGGTTGTAAAAACAAAGATGAATAGGAAAAATGTGCAGAAGAAAAAACATATGATGGTATTTTATGCTAACAGTCGAAGTGCAAGAAATAAAATTAATGAACTACGTTTGGTAGCATGTGCTGGGAACTTTGATATCATTGCATTAACTGAAACGTGGTATGATTTAAAGAGTCGGGATATGACTGCTGAGTGTAATATTCAGGGATTTAAGTTATTCAATGTGGATAGATGTAATGGTAAGGGGGGAGGAGTTGCATTGTATGTTCGAGAAAATATTAATTGTTGCATAAAAAAAGGTATAAAAATAGATGGAGCAGTAACAGAGTCTGTTTGGGTAGAGTTCGTGGAGGGTCAAGAAAAACTAATTCTAGGTGTAATATACCGACCTCCAGGCTTGGATCACGATAGAGGGAGACTTCTTTGGGACGAAATTGTTAAGGCTTCTGGACACAGTAACGTAGTCATAGTAGGGGATTTTAACTTTAAGCCAAATTGACTGGAATTCTTTGACAGGTAATCTAGAGTCCAGTGACTTCATGGAAACAGTTCAGGACTGTTTTCTGAAACAGAGTGTAACTGAACCTACCAGGGGTAAATAATTTGCTAGACCTAGTCTTGTCAAATAAGGAAACACTCGTGAATAAATCTGGAGATCACTGAAGAGCTTGGCGCAAGTGATCACAAATCCATCACCTTTAGCATTAATTGGGAATGCAAGAATAATGATAATACAGTAAAAATCCCCGATTTTCGTTCTTGCCGATTATAATGGACTTAGGGAACATCTGTCTAATCTTGATTGGGGTTATCTAGCTAATGATTTTTATTGACGATAATCATACTTATGAATATGAAGGGACTGCTTTTATGATTGTTTTCTTAATAATGTACACAGTGCCCAGAGTATATACATTCCCCAGAGAGAAATTAGGTCTAATAATAACGATCCCAAATGGGTTAACAGAGGCTAAAGCATCTATTAGGGGAGAAAAGGGAATTTATATAGGCGCATCAGAAGAGGAGAGGTTAACCTTACTGACCAATATGTTCAGCTTAAAAGAGAAGTAAAAAAGCGATTAGAAAGGCTAAACGTGACTAAGAAAATTAGAGTTGCTAATGAATCAAAGACTAACCCAAAGGGGTTCTTTCAAGTGTATAGGACGAAGGTGAAGGAAAAAGTAGGACCTCTGAAATCTGGGAATGGACAGCTGACGGATAATGAACTGGAAATGTGTTCCTTATTTAATGACTATTTTTGTCAGTTTTTACAACAGGAAGATGTAAATGAGATTCCAGTAATTAACAATTATTTAGTTTCCTGATGAATTTAAGTTAACTAATATTACTGTCACGAGGGACATGGTTATTAAACAGATAGACAAACTGAAACAAAATAAGTCCCCGGGACCCGATGAGTTGTTTTCAAGGGTACTTAAGGAATGCAAGATGGAGCTTATCAGCCATTAACGAGTGTATTCAATGCGTCCATCTTACCAGTGTTGTGCCAGAGATGTGGAAGATGGCTAATGTGGTTCCTATATTCAAATCAGGGGATAAGTCCACTCCTTCAAATTACCGTCCAATAAGCCTGACATCTATAGTGGGAAAGTTATTAGAATCAATTATAGCTGACATTATCAGAAGTCACCTTGAAGAGCATAACTTGATAAATGAATCTCAGCATGGATTCACGAGAGGTCGTTCCTCTGCCTGACAAACTTACTGACGTTCTTCAATAGAACATTTGAGGCAGTTGACAGTGATAAGGAATATGATATTGTTTATTGGATTTAGTAAAGCCTTCGACAGAGTACCTCACAAGAGACTCTTAAGAAAAGTGGCAGCTCATGTATAGGAGGTAAAGTTCAGCATGGATTGAGGCATGGCTTACCAATAGAAAGCAGAGAGTTACCATTAATGGAGTGAAATCTGAATGGGGATTAGTCACTAGTGGCATTCCACAAGGATCAGTTTTAGGCCCTCTCTTGTTCATAATTTACATTAATGACCTTGATGAAGGGATTACTAAGTGACATGAGTAAGTTTGCTGATGATACAAAGATAGGCCGTATAATTCACTCTGAGGAGGATATCAATGAACTCCAGGACGATTTGAACAAATTAATGTCTTGGTCTGAGAAATGGCAGATGAAGTTTAATGTGGATAAGTGTAAGGTACTTGCCCTTGGTAATGAAAATAACCCTCGAAGCTATAATTTAGGTGAAGTAGAGCTTGGTCATAACAGAATGTGAAAAAGACTTGGAGTCATGGTAAGCAGAAATCTAAAGCCAAGACAGCAGTGCCTCAGTGTGCGCAACAAGGCCAACAGATTACTTGGATTTATCTCAAGAAGTATAAGTAACAGAAGTCCAAAAGTTATTTTACAGCTCTATACATCACTAGTTAGAGGCCTCATTTAGATTATGCTGCCTCAGTTTGGTCCCCTTCACAGGATGGACATAGACTCATAGATAGCATACAGAGAAGAATGCTAAAATGATTTACTGTGTAAGGAACCTCTCCGTAGAAGAAGACTTAAAGCCTTAAATCCTCCACTCTCTGGAGAGGCCGTAGAATGAGGGAGATATAATCATTGAAGTGTATAAGTGAATGACGGGCATAAACCAAGGGAGACATTAAATAAAGTAACTGAGGGTGTCGAACCATGTAAGAACCAGGAATAATGGATATTAAGTTGGATAAATTTAGATTAAAAGGACATAGGTAATGTACTGGGTTTTTCTAACAGATTGTAATGCGTGGAAACAGTCTTCCCAGTGGGGTGATAGAGGCCTAGGACCTTGGGTAAGCTTTAAGACAGAGACTGAACACATATTGAGTGGGAGGGGCCTGGGTTTTGATTGGTGTTGGGGGGTCGGGAGTTGTTTCTTGAGTAGCCTATGGTAGAGATCGTTTTGATAAGGACCTGGCTCGTATGGGCCAGTAGGCCTTCTGCAGTGTTTCCTACATCTTATGTTCTTATGTTTCTTATGTTCTTATGTTTGTAGATAGTAACTGCCCAGGGAGGTACTACTGTCCTGTAGTATAGGATTTTTGGTAGATAGTAACTGGCCCAGGGAGGTACAACTGTCCCTGTGGTAGTATGTTGGTAGATAGTAACTGCCTAGGGAGGTAACTACTGTCCTGTGTAGTAGTTGGTAGATATAACTGCCCAGAGAGTTACTACTGTCCTGTGGTAGTAGTTTGTAATAGTAACTGCCCATGGAGGTAATGATTGTCCTGTGGTAGTAGGTTGGTAGATAGTAACTGCCCAGGAAGGTACTAATGTCCGTGTAGTAGGTTGGTAGATTCAGTAACTACTGCCCAGGGAGGTTTAGATTTAGAAAGGACATAGGAAAGTATTGGTTGGAAATAGGTAGTTTGATGAAGAGGAACATCTACCTAGTTCGGTTATTGAGGCTGGGACTTTGGGTAGTTTCAAATCTAGGTGGATTAAGTAACAATGAGTGGGGAGGGGTTGATTAGCGCGGGACTGTCACATCAAGCTTACTTTCTTGGGTGGCATTGAATAATTGGGTTGGGCAAACGTTTTGTTAGTGGGATGAATTGTAAAGGACCTGCCCTAGTATGGGCCGCAGGCCTCCTGCAGTGTTCCTCCTTTATGTTCTTATGTTGTAATAGTAACTACCCAGGGAAGGTACTAATGTCCTGTGGTAGTAGTTTAGTAATAGTAACTGCCCAGGGAGGTACTACTGTCCTTGTGTAGTAGGTTGGAAGATAGTAACCACCTAATGGAGGTACTAATACTGTCCCTGTGTGTAGTATGGTTAGTAGATAGTAACTACCCAGGGAGGTACTACTGTCCCGTGGTAGTAGGTTGGTAGATAGTAACTGCCCAGGGAGGTACTAATGTCCCGTGGCAGTAGGTTGGTAGATAGTAACTGCCCAGGGAGGTACTACTGTCCTGTGGTAGTAGGTTGGTAGATAGTATCTGACCCCAGGGAGGTACACTGTCCTGTTGTGGGGTAGTATAAGGTTTGTAGATAGTATGCCAGGGAGGTCACTACTGTCCTGTGGTAGTAGGTTTGTAGACAGTAACTGCCCAGGGAGGTACTACCGTCCTGCCACGTGAGTGTAAAACTGAAGCCTGTAATTGTTTTACATGATGGTAAGATTGCTGGTTTCTTTTTTCTGTCTCATAGACATACAAGATTTCAGGTACGTCTTGCTACTTATACTTACACTTAGGTCACACTACACATACATGTACAAGCATATATATATACACACCTCTCTGGGCTTTCTTCTATTTTCTTACTAGTTCTTCTTCTTGTTTATTTCCTCTTATCTCCATGGGGAAGTTTGTAACAGAAATTCATCCTCCATATCCAGCATGTCATAAGAAGCAATTAAAATGCTGGGAGCTAGGGGCTAGTAACCCCTTCTCCAGTATACATTACTCAAGAAATCGTAATGACACGATTGCAAACAAACCATACCCCCGGCCGGGATGAACCCGCGGTCAAGAGTCCAAACTCCAGCCCGTCGCGTTAGCCACTACTAGAACCGCTAGCCACAATAAGATTCATCCAACTAGGTATATTTCTACACCATAGAAAGGTTAGCACAGGCACCACTGTGACCACAAATGCAAGTTTTTACAGACGAATCTCCAGCTAGCGTGGCCGTGATGAACTCTAGCTCAAGTCCCTTCACTGCCGTCAAACATGACTCAAGAAATCGTAAAACACGATTGCAACAAACCATACCCCGACTGGGATTGAACCCGCGGTCATAGAGTCTCAAAACTCCAGCCCGTCTAGTGGCTAACGCGACGGGCTGGAGTTTTGAGACTCTATGACCGCGGGTTCAATCCCGGCCGGGGGTATGGTTTGATACATTACTAAAATTGAAGAGAGAAGCTTATGTTTTTATTTTTGGGTTGCCCTGCCTCAGTGGGATACAACCAGTTTGTTGAAAGAAGAAGACAAACTTACCAGTAGCATCAGCAAGAAGGAGACTCACAGGGATGCCCACACTGTTGAGGTTGCATCTGCTGACCTCCAGTTGATCCATACTCATGTCACTCGCTATGATGTGACTGACCTGCAAAAATGAAAATAATAACTCAAAACTGCATAGGCAATATTTAAAAGTTAAAGTAGGCAAGAAAATTAAGTTCTGTCATTCGACAATAATACATTTTATTGCCAAGAGTAAATACACCTACCATCCGACTTACGACCGAGTTCGGTTCCGAGAAACCGGTCGTAAGTCGAAATGGTCGTAAGCGAACTTTTACTACTGAATATCAAAACAAAACATTTTTGTAATGACTTTATTTTATTGTTTTATTTTGGTATTTCATGTTTTACTTTACTTTTTATGTTGTTAGTACTGTATTTTATACTGTAAGGTTTAGGATAAACACTGTGTACAACACAAATAGTTGTTTATTTCCCAGAAATTTGGCATAAAAACCATGTTGTAAGTCAAAGTGGTCGTAAGTCGAGTGGTCGTAAAGTCAAGCAGGCCGGTAGTCGGATTGTAGGTGTATTTTATTTATAACACAACATTCTGGCCTGATTCCCAACAAGCAGGAGTGGCGTGGCCGAAAAAGAAAAAAACTTTCACATCATTCACACCCATCACTGTCTTGCAGAAGGTGCTATACACTACAGTTTTTAACTGCAACATTAACACCCATCCTTCAAGGCAGGCACTGTAACTCCCATCTCCAGGACTCAAGTCCGCCTGCCGGTTTTCCTTGAATCCTTCATAAATATTACTTTCTCACACCCAACAGCATGTAAGTTATAAACCCTTTGACTGTGACAAACCCCCAATCCAGAGGTGTCTCCTGGGTGTCAGCAAAATTTAAAGAAAAAAAAAAATTATTCTTCTTAATGAAAATGATAAGAGAATCTTTTCCCCGATTGTAATGACACCAAAAAACGAAACTTTGATGGAAACTGACGGATATTATGCTCTCGCAAAGTTAGCGACCTCGGCGCTGTTTACAAATTAAATTGGCGATTTCGCACCCACTTAGAAGCCCTATTTCTCGGCTAATTCCGTTTGTTCCAGCTCGCCCAAACTCATAGCTATTCTTTAGACTACCATTTTTTCTTATCGATGAGTACAAGAAACTGCCCATTTACCGATTTCAACTACCTAATAATGTGGTCAAAATTTGCAATTTGGCCAATTTCAATTTCACAAAAACTAAAAATATGAAATTTCAAAATAAGGACAGAATGCATCCACCTGCAGACATTCTCGCTCTAAAATAATACATTTTCTTTGTTCATCAGTCATGTCTCCAGGCCCCTATAAATTACTCTTGCTTTCTATTTTGAATTTTTATTCAAACAAAAAATAGAAGAACTTACTATTAAGCATGACTACCTGCAATACTGTAATAATTGTAATAAAAAACATCAACCCCATTTCATGACTGTGCATATTAGAATGGCTAGTTGGACAATTATTGGACAATGGCACCATTTGTTTACTTTTGAAACATTGGCAAAATCAAAACATTTTCCCTAATTTGAGCGCTCATTTCTAGTGTTCTTTTTATAGTAAAATCCATCAAATCACCTCTATTCTATATTATGTTTTCCAATTCTATCAATGAGTGAGGGCAAAACTTGGGGCTCAAAAGAAACCGAGAATACAACCAAAATACTATACGAAAATAGACCACAAAGTCGCATTTTAATTAAAAAAACGGTCAGTTGTTTTTTTTTTTCTCATTATGCACTTCGTGCTCCAAGGTTTTTTTTATATGGGTGCACACTGACCACGACAGACCCATTCTCTCACACATGTGGGCCTTACCAGCTTTCTCCTGCTTGATTAGAAGCCACTAGAATTTATGAGTATATATACTTCAAACACGGTACCTCGTAAGACGTATAGATACGCCTGCGACAGTCAAAGGGTTAAAACCATTGTCTCCATTCACTTATCTCCTATCAAACACGCTCATGCATGCTGCTGAAAGTCCAAGCCCTAGCAACAACAAACCCACCTTTACCCCCTCCCTCCAACCTTTTCCTAGGCCGCCTCTACCCCGCCTGTCCTTCCACTACAGACTGATACACTCTTGAAGTCACTCTGTTTCACTCCATTCTCTCTACATGTCCGAACCACCTCAGCAACCCTTCCTCAGCCCTCTGAACAACAGTTTTGGTAATCCCGCACCTCCATTCACTCCTATCAAACACGATCATGCATGCCTGCTGGAAGTCCAAGCCCCTCGCACACAAAACCTCCTTTACCCCCTCCCTCCAACCTTTCCTAGGCCGACCCCTACCCCGCCTTCCTTCCACTACAGACTGATACACTCTTGAAGTCACTCTGTTTCACTCCATTCTCTCTACATGTCCGAACCACCTCAACAACAATGCCTAAGCGTACGTAATAAGGCAAATAGATTACTGGGATTTATATCAAGAAGTGTAAGCAACAGAAGTCCAGAGGTCATACTGCAGCTTTATACATCATTAGTAAGGCCTCACCTAGATTATGCAGCTCATTCTGGTCTCCATATTACAGAATGGACATAAATTCATTAGAAAACATTCAGCTATGGATGAACTAAATTAATACATAGCATTAGAAATCTTCCTTATGAAGAAAAGATTGAAGACTCTTAATTTACATTCACTTGTTAAGACGAAGAATGAGGGGAGACCTGATCGAATGTATAAGTGGAAGAATAGGTATTAATAAAGGGGATAATTAATAAGGTCTTGAGATATTCTCTCCAAGAGAGAACCACCCGCAGTAATGGGATTTAAATTAGATAAGTTTTAGATTTAGAAAGGACAAAGGAAAGTATTGGGTTTGGAAATAGGGTAGTTGATGAGTTGGAACAGTCTACCTAGTTGGGTATTGAGGCTAGGACTTTTGGTATTTTCCAAATTTGGTTGGATAAGTACATGAGTGGGAGGGTTTGGAATTTTGAGTGGGACTTGCACATCCAGAGCTTATTTCCTTGGGTGGCCATTTTGAAAAATGCGTTGGTTCAAATGTTTGTTAGTATGGGATGAATTGAAAAGGACCTGCCTAGTATGGGCCAACAGGCCTGCTGCAGTGTTTCCTCATTTATGTTCTTATGTTAACATTAAAATGGTATAAAATACGACAGGTTGTTAGGTAAGACACATATGCAACAGTTAGGTTATCTTATTATCAAACGTTCGCTCTACACATTTACGTCTTCTTCAGTCAAGTACAGAAAAGTGATAGAAGCTGAAGATACTTGAAAGAAGAGTAATCAGTTCCATCACCCTTAAAGTTTTGAGTGGTCAGTCCCTCATCTGAGGAGAGAGCATTGTCCATAGTATGAAACAATAGGAGAGAATGAACAGATGGAGCTTTTTATAGCGCCAAGAGGTAGACTTAGGCCACTAGGAGAGGTAAGAACTAGATGTTGAAAGGTCAGTTCCCTCTCAAATCCAGCCGCTCTCACTAGTGGAAGTTGTCGAAGTTTGATTGCAGTCTGTACCAAGATAACCCCTTGGTGTTGCAGTGCTGACAGATTGAACAGTAAAATGTATAAAAAAACCCGACGGTTGTTAGGTAAGACACATATGCAACAGTTAGGTATCTTTATTATGAAACTTTCGCCTAACAGTGGGCTTCTTCAGTCAAGTACAGAAAATGATAAAAGCAGAAGAATTGAAGACGAGTAATCATCCATCCCCCTTTAAAAATTTTTGAGGTGGTCAGCCCCTCAGCTGGAGAAGAGCATTTTTTCCTAAGAAACAATATGGAATGAAGTGACAGAATGGAGCTTTTTTTTAGCGCCAAGAGGGAGACGTCCCCAAAAGGGGAAAAAAAATTTTTTAAAGTCAGGTCCCCCTCAATCCAGCCGCTCTCACTAGTGGAAGTTGTTCGAAGTTGATTGCAAGGTCTGTACCAAATGTGTCTTACCACCTAACAAACCTGTCGTATTTTATGACCATTTTAATGTTCAATCTGTCAGAACACTGCACACAAGGGTATCTTGGTACAGACCTGCAATCAACTTCGACAACTTCCACTATTGAAGCGGCGATTAGAGAGGGACCTGACCTATTCAACATCTGAGTTCTTACCTATCTAGTGGCCTACGTCCACCTCTTGGCGCTATAAAAAAGCTCCATTCTGCCAATTCTCTCCAATATTGTTTTCATACTGTGGAACAAATGCCTTCTCCAACTGAGGACTGACCACCTCAAACTTTAAGGGTGATGGACTGATTACATCGTCTTTAAGTATCTTCTGCTTCTATCAACTTTTCTGTACTTGACTGAAGAAGCCTACTGTGTAGGCGAAACGTTTCATAATAAAGATACCTAACTGTTGCATATGTTCTTATGTTCTTAACAACCCTTCCTCAGCCCTCTGGACAACAGTTTTGGTAATCCCGCACCTCCTCCTAAAATACTGAATATTTAAAATTTACCACTCTTTGCCTGTCTACACTTAAGTAGTCTTTAATATTAGGTTAACTGCCCAAAATACCCCAGCATGATAGCGGCTTTTTTTTGTACCAATCAAATTATGAAATGCAAACACACTGTAAGCTTTGCAAAGAAATATACTTTTGTTTTTTGTTTGTGAGGGTGAAGACATATATCTCAAAATGATGGACCCAATTTCAAAGGAGCATATTATGGAAACTGGGTCCATATTTCTGAAACACCATGTACTTTTAAAATATAATCTTAACTGAATGCTGCTTTGTGTAATTAAATTATTATTATGCAGAAGTGCCAACTTATAAACAAGTTATGTTCTTGGTTTTTTATAGTGACAAGTTATGTTCTTGGTTTTTTATAGTGCCAACTTATAAACAAGTTATGTTCTTTTTGTTGTTTGTATTGAAAAAACATTAAAATTATGACTATTATCACAAATTTATACCTGTTTGCATTGAGGTTGTAAGTATTAGTAACTCAATGTCACATTTGTAAGTGTAAATATGTGCACTTAAGGGCATTTGTAAATGTAGAGAGCTTGGCCAAAATGTAGGCAGTAGAAAACCCACAGTATGCCTAAAAATAGGTTGAAAAAATGTTTAACTAAATCATCTTTTTTTTTATCTGTAGAAGTTTGCACTCAGTGTGGTTTTTTTGTAATTCTATTCTTTTTAAACACATTGATTGTAAAGAAACATGAAGACACTGTAATGGCCTTCTGAATTTAAAGATTCAAGATTGTTTATGTCAGCATGATACAATGTTTGCACAGAGATCGGTGGCCCGGTGGCCTGGTGGCTAAAGCTCCCGCTTCACACACGGAGGGCCCGGGTTCGATTCCCGGCGGGTGGAAACATTTCGACACGTTTCTTTACACCTGTTGTCCTGTTCACCTAGCAGCAAATAGGTACCTGGGTGTTAGTCGACTGGTGTGGGTCGCATCCTGGGGGACAAGATTAAGGACCCCAATGGAAATAAGTTAGACAGTCCTCGATGACGCACTGACTTTCTTGGGTTATCCTGGGTGGCTAACCCTCCGGGGTTAAAAATCCGAATGAAATCTTATCTTATATTTAGGTGTGGAGGCAGAAATCCCCTTAATATGCAGAGCAGTTCAGGCAAACTTAAGTATATCTTAAGACTAATAAGGCAATAACTAATTGACTGCTCTTGTAGTAATCTCTCCATATCCACGGAGATACATTCCAAGACCTACCGTGGATAGTAGCAACCCTATACAGTGGAACCCTGAGTTTCGAACTTAGTTCCAGAAGGCTGTTCAAGTGTTGATACCAAATGAATTTGTTCCCATAAGGAATAATGTAAATTAGATTAATCCATTTCAGACCCCCAAAAATACACTTACATAAATGGTCGAGTTGGGAGCAGTTCGGAAACTCAGGGTACCACTGTATCTAAGTCATTTTTCCATTACATACCTATGATAAAGTTTAGTTGATAAATTATGCAAAATAAGTCTAGAATTAATTCCTTTTTCACTTATGTGATGCATTTCAGGATTTGAAGAACTACCGGCTTTTCGACTTTTGTGCTTTGGGGCCATTATTAAGCAAAATAAGGGTTAGTTTTGGGCCAAAGTAAACCGTGGATAACCCAATCCATGGACACGAGGGCCCTACTGTATATACAGCCTCTTAAGTGATTGTAACGATAAATTTAGGAATGACACAAGTGAAACATTCAATGAACTCTTTAGTCTTTACAGGAACGTGGAGTATGTTCTCTCACAAAATAGTTAATAACTTTTTTCTCAACTAAACTACAAATGAGAAATGGAAAATAGAAATCTCAGTATATCCTGGAGCAAAACAGTAAAGAGGCCACTTCTACCTCAAAATTTGTAGCAGCTTCCAACAAAATTGTTGCCCCTCCACACATGGGATCGAGGAGCACGCATCCAGGGGATATTTGAGAAAGCTTAGCCATCAGGTAGCAGATTGTAGAGCGCAGTGTAAGATGTGGAATATAACGCCGTAATGAGAGAGACTTCTGTGCCAGTGAAACACCTGAAAATTTATTATATACTATCAAAATAGGTCTGGTGTTGTAAGGTGACCTCGAGGTGCAGTCTCGTGATTATAAGTCTACCTCTTCATCTTTTATTTTTACAGTCCCTCGATAATGTGACAAATCATGAAAGCGTTTGAAATTTCACTATTTTTCACAGTGGTTATTCTGCATTTATTATCACATTGCATTAGCCATTTCCCACTAAGGGCAGGTCACCCAAATTCAAATTCAAAGTTTATTCTCTATAAGGATTACTGTACAATGCTGAGTTTGCAGAATTTGGTTATTGTGTGGTTTACATGTAGTAAAATACTAATTACAAAGGGGGCCACTAGAACACCTAGCATGGCTAGGCATTTTGGGCAGACTTAGATTAATTCTTAACTTTAAAATATTACAAATTATGAGGTAAGTTGGTAAGAACACATCTTTATTTCTTTTCTACAGTATACAAAATGTAGCATACATGTAATAAAATACTGTTAGCACAAAAGAAAGCCACTAACATGTAGTGCATTTCAGGAAGACTAATACTAATGCTTACAGACTACTTAAGAACGAGACGCAGATTATTAAGAATGAGTTTTTTAAATGTACAAAAAGTGAATAGTAGTACAGTTTTAAGTATGCATTAATACAAAAAGGAGGTAGCTAAGTGAAAATAGTATAATTTTAAGTTATTTATTATATTAACACATCAGCCATCTCCCACCAAGGCAGGGTGGCCCGAAAAAGAAAAACTTTCACCATCATTCACTCCATCACTGTCTTGCCAGAAGGGTGCTTTACACTACAGTTTTTAAACTGCAACATTAACACCCCTCCTTCAGAGTGCAGGCACTGTACTTCCCATCTCCAGGACTCAAGTCCGGCCTGCCGGTTTCCCTGAATCCCTTCATAAATGTTACTTTGCTCACACTCCAACAGTTTTAAGTTATTTATTATATTAATACATCAGCCATCTCCCACCAAGGTAGGGTGGCCCGAAAAAGAAAAACATTCATCATCGTTCATTCCATCACTGTCTTGCCAGAGGGGCACTTATACTACAGTTCAAAACTACAATTATCCCTGCTGCACCATTGTATATAGTATATTAAAATTCATTCAGATTGTTTTAATATCTGAAGTTAAAAAATCATGCAGAATACACAAACTTAATTTTTTTTCTTTAAAACACCGGCTGTCTCCCACCAAGGTAGAGTGACTTAACCCGTAAACGGTCCCAGCAGATCTACGTTCACATGCGTAGTGCTACAAAAGTAGATCTAAGTTTTTTTTACATATTTTCAAATATAACAAAAAAAAAAACTAGATCAAAGTTTTTTTTACACATTTTCAAATGTAGAAAAACAAAAAGAAGATCTACTTTTTTTACATACTTTCAAATGTTGAAAAAACGTATATATACGTTTGGACCGTTTACGGGTTAAGAAACACTTCTTTTTATACTGCATTTCGCAGCTTATAAGACTTGCTTAGTTTTAATGGCTCGGAATTGGACATAACTGGGAGAGCTACAGCCCACCCCACACCCCAAACTTATAGCCACTGTCACTGACCTTCAGTTTATAGGATGCGGGATGGTTTTTGGAGACATTTTATAGAAAAATAAATGCGTCTTATATGCCACAAAATACGGTATTTAGTAATTTATACAGGAGAAACAAATTGACATACCTACAATAAAGTGTGAAGCAGTAACATTCATATAAAAGTCCAAGACAGGTTCTCTCCAATTTGTAGTCCAATTGGCCATCGCCCGATTTAAATGATGCACAAACTGGCAAGTAAGCCAGTCAACGGTCAGTACAGTCTTGTGTGGACCAGAGACCCTACATGATACTCGGAAACTCACAGCTTCTTCACCATCATTTGTTTTCCCGTGTGGACGTGGATGTTTCTCGTTGTTTGGAAATACATCTGGTAAACCTGAAGAATTTGAAAAGGTTTGTGCACAGATTTTGTGCAAGTTCTCATTCTTTTCGCAGTCTGTTGATCTGGCTAGGTGTGCGTTTTGGGGGAAGTTCCTTTCAAAAGGGAAAATGGGATTTTTCATTTGTGGGGTACAAAAATTTTAGAGGCTCTCCCAAACCGCGGGGAAAAAGCCCTGTAACACGTTCAAGATTTTGAAACATTCAAAACTTTTTTTCCTTTTGGAAACGCCCAATCCCCAAAAGAAAATTTTTGATCGTTTATTTCAGAGGGGGGAAATTTAAAATTTTTTTCAGTATTTTTGGAAAAATAGAAAATACACTGTTTGGGGAAAAAATTTTTTCCTTGCTTATTTTCACTTTCTAAATCACTGGATAAAACATTAGTTTATTTTTTTTTTTTTTTAATTTTAACCTTTTTTAAATGACAGTTTTTTTCTAGCATCTAGACTAAAAGAAAACCTTTTTTGAGTCTTTTTTTAAACACTGGTAATTCTTGAAAAAACTGGGAGGAATGAGCGCAACCCCCTCGTTTCCGCTGAAACCGCTCTCATTGTTTTCCTGTTCAGAGTTTCCTGGGCAAGTCCCGGGTTTAAACTGCAGAGTTCATGGGTACCCATTGTGTTCTCGGGGTTATTTCTTTATCATCCTGACTCCCCCCCGCTAAAACTTGTTTTTTCCCCAAAGTTCTTCATGACCTCCACAACTTTTTCTTATCTGGGAAAAGAGATGTACACAAAAACACCCCCACAACACAACTACTAAACTCCCCCTTTTTAAAATTTATAATCTCAGACTTTTAAACCCCAAATTTACCCCCCCATTTTCCTTTAAAGAAAAGAAAAAGAAACCCCCATTATTCATTTAATAGTGCACTGGCAGAAGTACAAAAAACCATCATAATTTTTAAAAACCCTCCAAAATGGAGAAAAAATGGTTTTTAATACTTGACGTGCTGTTGGAGTGGAGCAAAGTAACATTTTTTTGAAGGGGTTTTAGGGAAACCGGGAGGCCCGGACTTTGAGTCCCGGAGATGGAAAATAAGTGGGTCCCTCGTTTTTTCCCCTTAAATTTAAACCCCTTCCTTTGGGGCCGGTTTACAAAAAACGAAAAATTTCGATTTTTGGAAAACAATTTTTCCCATTTAAAAAAAAGGGAAAAAACAAAAATTTTCCTTTCTGACACTTTAGAAGTAAATTTAAAAAAAAAAAATTTTTTTTTCAAAGAAAAATACAAGTATTTTCAAAAAAAAATTTCAATGGGAAAAGAGAATGAAACATTAACAACAAAACACTTTCCTTTATTGGAGATTCTTTTTTGTGTTTGGGAGACTGGAGGAGGAGAGAGATTGGATTGTTTACAGTTTGGAAGGGGAATCCCCTTCCAGCAACACCTCAGGTACCAATTGCTTCTCTGGGGTTGCTTCTCTTCTCTGTTTCTTAATGCCACTAGGACCACCTTGAGAGTCACTCTAGTCCTGTCTCGCAAAGTAACTGTGGAGAGAGCTCTGTTTTTAGCGTCTCTTTAACACTTCCCGAAAATGGCCCAAGACTTTGTCACTGTACATATTTCTCACCTTCTTTACCACAGGCTTGGCACTAGGAGATTTCCTTGGAGCCATGGTAGCTTATTTAGTAATTGAAAGCACTAAAATGAGTGGAATATTATGAAATATTTCGTAGGAGCACTTGAGGGGACCTTCACTCGCTGGTAAACAATGCCAGACTGGCTGAGTAGGGAGGCCTCCCCGGCTCACACCGTGCGAACGCGTCCCGGACGAACTACTATTCGCGAGTCAACCTATGAAAAGTGAGTCCATGTTTATATGAAAATACCCCTATGATTGGCAAAATTTACGATTGCCGAGAACTACGAAAAGCGAGGGACCACTGTACAGTGCCTGCACTCTGAAGAAGGGGTGTTAATGTTGCAGTTTAAAAACTGTAGTGATGGAGTGAATGATGGTGAAAGTTTTTCTTTTTCGGGCCACCCTGCCTTGGTGGGAATCGGCCAGTGTGATAATAAAAAAAAAAAAAAAATGACTGCAACATCCCCACCCATTCCCCCCAGGGTGCAGGAAGTGTACTTCCCACCTCCAGGACTCAAGTCTCACTAACCAATTTTCAGTAAATCCCATTTTATTACATAAAATTGTATGTACATAACATGTCTGTGTCTCAGAATACATCCTTGTGTGAAACAAAGGCCATGTGTAAATACTATATTATTTAACCCATGGTATTTTGAAGCCATAAGAGTCCTACAGTGGCTGAAAAATTGGAAGCAATCAGGTTTGATCCAAAGAAAAGGTAGCTCAAACTCCTTGGAACAGTAGCCTCAGTATGAAGGCACACCACTGGAAGGTGTGGCTTTATGCCCTTTTCTATTATTTATCACATTTATTTGACTAGCATGTCGTAAAAGGAGACTAAAATGCCGGGAGCAAGGTCTTACACCTCCTGTATACATTACTAAATACCGGAAGCAAGGTGTTAGCCCCTTGCTAGGAGCAAGGGGCTAGTGACACCTACTCCTATATAAATTACTAAATGCCAGGAGCAAGGGGCTAGTAACCCCTTCTAAGATATAAATCACTAAATGTAAAAAGAAAAACTTTTTTGTTTATTATTTTTCAGGTCACCCTGACTCGGTGGGAGACAGCCTGTATTAAAAAATAATAATTTGTGATGGTGTTATTCTTGAACACCTGTTCTTTCAACAAATTCACAAGTGCTCACATAACGATAAGATAAAGATTTGATTTCTTTGCAAGGTTACAATGTGTATTTACAGTCTTGATTAGTTAAGTACAAAGAGAGCTACTATCATGCCGGGGCATTTTGGGCAGACAACAAGCTATGAAGCGATGTATCAGTAGTTTGGCGGATAGGGAAGGGGTAACTATTACACCTAGAAGGGCAAGAATAAATGAATATGTGCAATTTGTAACTCCTAGCCCTTGTCGCTATGTCATTTGAAGACTTATTGAGATTACTTCTCTCATTGAGATTTTTACTCCATCAGAGCTTATTTCTTGGGTAGCATTGAAAATTGGGTTGGGCAAAAGTTTTGTTAGTGGGATGAATTGTAAAGGACCTGCTAGTATGGGCCAACAGGCCTGCTGCAGTGTTCCTCCTTTCTTATGTTCTTATGTTCTTAACACATTGGCCATTTCCCACCAAGGCAGGGTGACCCAATAAATGAAGAAACACTTTCATCATCACTCACTCCATCACTGTCTTGCCAGTGGTGTGCCAATACTACAGTTCAAAATCTGCAATATGTTTACTGTATATCTAAAAAAAAAAAATGGGAAATCACACTTTAAATTATCAGAAGCAAATGTCAAGTTTAGAATCTGAGCCAAGTTTAAAACAATAGAAGAAACTGTTTCAATAAACAATGTAACTTAAAAAACATAATACGTAAAGCTAAAAGTAATCCAGTAGAGTAGGAAAGTAACTATTTATCGCATGCACATTTACAAATGAAAAATAAACATACATTCTTTTAAAATGGCCTTTCTACATCTTGAAGATTCACTAAAAGGCTTCTTACAATCCGACATCTCACAATCCGATACCTTCCCACCCATCTGTTCCGAGTATAGTCCAGCCACTGATTCTTCCACGGAACTGCATACTATATCCAGATTTGGTTCTGCATCAACAGATCTGGCCTTGCTACTATCACCAAACAAAACTGAAATAAAAAATATTTTGTTGTAACTCCAGTTAAAATAAAAATGACTTCAGAAATACAACAATTCTTTCAATTTACCATGAAAATTCTATTTATTTTTGAAACCCTATTCTGTCTGTCTGCCCAAAATGTCCTGGCATGATACTGGCCTACTTTGTACTTAGTACTTTGTACTTAGTACTTTGTACTTAGCAAACCAAAATTGTAATTACACACTGTAATATAGACAAAGAAAATTTTTATTCTGATTTTATTGTTTTATTTGCTGTTATATTTATAACAATTTTCCATGGGAAAGTGGAACAGAATTCTTCCTCCTTAAGCCATGCGTGTCGTAAGAGGCGACTAAAATGCCGGGAGCAAGGGGCTAGTAACCCCTTCTCCTGTATATATATTACTAAATTTAAAAGGAGAAACTTTCGTTTGTCCTTTTGGGCCACCCCGCCTTGGTGGGATACTGCTGGTACGTTGAAAGAAAAGAAAGATTTATAACAATAATTCCCAGTGATGGGGAGCACTTCACAGCTTCTCTTAGGCTGTGAAGAACTGTCAGCATCACTGCTTTTACACTCTGGGCACATTAACCCGTAAACGGTCCCAGCAGATCTACGTTCACACGTGCTGTTGGAGTGTGAGCAAAGTAACATTTATGAAGGGGTTCAGGGAAACTGGCAGGCCGGACTTGAGTCCTGGAGATGGGAAGTACAGTGCCTGCACTCTGAAGGAGGGGTGTTAATGTTGCAGTTTAAAAACTGTAGTGTAAAGCACCCTTCTGGCAAGACAGTGATGGAGTGAATGATGGTGAAAATTTTTCTTTTTCGGGCCACCCTGCCTTGGTGGGAATCGGCCAGTGTGATAATAATAAAAAAAAAATAACAAAAAAAAGTACATCAAAGTTTTTTTACACATTTTCAAATGTAGAAAAACAAAAAGAAGATCTACTTTTTTTACATACTTTAAAATGTTGAAAAAACGTATATATACGTTTGGACCGTTTATGGGTTAATAAGCAAAATTAAGGGTTATTTTTGGCCCACGGTAAACCGCGATAACAAACTGCCAAACCGAATCCATGGATACATGGGTTCTACTGTCCTTAGACCTAGACATATTAAGTAGGAATTTTTGAATGTACAAAAAAATCCTGGTACTCACCATCTGTACAAATCTGTTCACAATGCAGCAACATGAAGATTCGTTCCACCATTTTCAACTTGAACACCGGGGCCATGATATTAACAAAATCATCTCCCTCTTGATACTTTAAGTTATCGCTCAACTCGTCATTCTTTCCAGTCTCTGCCTTGCAATAATCTTCCTTTGCAATATTTCCATGGTGCAGTCCACTAGGCGAGTGTTTAATGACAAACGACAGCTTACCTTCTCCCAGTGACTGAATATCACACACATTGGGAATACTCTCACTGATCTCCTGGGCAGCAAACGTATTCAGACCTCTTCCATGTGTCACAAACAATTTTGTTCCCATTCTGAGCTCAAATTGTCATCCAATACAAAACGATCTGCAAAATTAATTGTAATTAATATATATTAACTAGGAAGCATTATTACTGTAGTTAATTTTGGGGGTCAATGCCCCTGTGACCCGGTCCATGACCAGGCCTCGTGGTGAATCTGGACCTGATCAACTAGGCTGTTACTGCTGGCTGCATGTAAACCAACATAGGAATCACAGCCCGGCTGGTCAGGTACTGGCATTAGGTGACTGTCCACCTCCCTCTTGAAGACAGTCAGGGTCTTATTGGTAATTCCCTTTATATATGCTGGGAGGCAGTTGAACAGTCTTGGTCCCCTGACACTTTACTGTGTTGTCTCTCAGTGTACTCGTGGTGCCCATGCTTTTCATCGGGGTAATGTTGCATCTCCTAATAATAATAATATGTAATATCTTTATTTCTACCAAGGTATACAGACCATAGCTGACATCAGTGACATACTACTGTATAAAAAGTCACTTGTTATGCTGAGCATTTCCCGTAAATTAGGTCAGTTTTGTCCCAGGATGTGACCCACACCAGTCCACTAACACCCAGGATGCCACCCACACCAGTCCACTAGCACCCAGGATGCCACCCACACCAGTCCACTAACACCCAGGATGCCACCCACACCAGTCCACTAACACCCAGGATGCCACCCACACCAGTCCACTGACACCCAGGATGCCACCCACACCAGTCCACTAACACCCAGGATGCCACCCACACCAGTCCACTAACACCCAGGATGCCACCCACACCAGTCCACTAACACCCAGGATGCCACCCACACCAGTCCACTAACCCAGGATCATCCCACAGTCACTACACCAGGATGCCACCCACACCAGTCCACTACACCCAGGACGCCACCCACACCAGTCCACTAACACCCAGGATGCCACCCACACCAGTCCACTAACACCCAGGATGCCATCCACACCAGTCCACTAACACCCAGATGCACCCACGACCGTCACTACACCGGATGCCACCCACACCAGTCCACTAACACCCAGGATGCCACCCACACCAGTCCACTAACACCCAGGATGCCACCCACACCAGTCCACTAACACCCAGGATGCCACCCACACCAGTCCACTAACACCGAGGATGCCACCCACACCAGTCCACTAACACCCAGGATGCCACCCACACCAGTCCACTAACACCGAGGATGCCACCCACACCAGTCCACTAACACCCAGGTACCCATTTTACTGATGGGTGAACATAGACAACAGATGTAAAGAAACACATCCAATGTTTCCACCCCTTCGCAGGGAATCGAACCTGGACCCTCAGCTTGTGAAGCGAGAGCTCTAGCTACCAGGCCACAAGTCTTTTGCTTTCATAGAGTGATTTTCGTGTACAGGTTTAGGACTAATCCCTCTAGGGGTTTCCAATACCTTTGATATACCTTTGAAGAATTTCGAGAGTATATCTACTCTCTGAGCCCGGCCATGGGCCAGGCTCGTCTAGTGCTCGCCTGGTCAACCAGGCTGTTGCTGCTGGAGGCCCGCTGGAGGTCCAAGTGCATATTATCAGATTATATTTACATTTTGCCACTTGTTCTATCTAGGCTGGAATATTGCTGCACACTAACAGCACCTTTCAAGGCAGGTGAAATTGCTGACCTAGAAAATGTACAGAGAACCTTCACGGCGCACATAACGGAGATAAAACACCTCAATTACTGGGAGCGCTTGAGGTTCCTGAACCTGTATTCCCTGGAACGCAGGAGGGAGAGATACATGATTATATACACCTGGAAAATCCTAGAGGGACTAGTACCAAACTTGCACACGAAAATCACTCACTACGAAAGCAAAAGACTTGGCAGACGATGCAACATCCCCCCAATGAAAAGCAGGGGTGTCACTAGCACGTTAAGAGACCATACAATAAGTGTCAGGGGCCCGAGACTGTTCAACTGCCTCCCAGCATACATAAGGGGGATTACCAACAGACCCCTGGCAGTCTTCAAGCTGGCACTGGACAAGCACCTAAAGTCGGTTCCTGACCAGCCGGGCTGTGGCTCGTACGTTGGTTTGCGTGCAGCCAGCAGCAACAGCCTGGTTGATCAGGCTCTGATCCACCAGGAGGCCTGGTCAAAGACCAGGCCGCGGGGGCGTTGACCCCCGGAACTCTCTCCAGGTAAACTCCAGGAAGTGGCTAGTTTATTGTGTACCTCATATCCATCCTGTGGACGGTAGCACAAGAGCATATGGATACACAATAGGCCTAGGAACTAGGCCTTCGAAAAAGGTTAACAGGAGTACATATGGATTTATATCTACATATCTATAGTTCACTTATCCATTACAAGCAAATTTAGGAAATTTGCTTAGTATATCTGGTATAATTTGGAAAACCCCACGAATTCTGCCTATTTTTATAGTTTAACCCTTTGACTGTCGCAACCCCCAATCCTGAGGTGTCTCCTGGTGTCGCAAAATTTAAAAAAAAAATTATTTTTTCTTATGAAATGATAGAGAATCTTTTCCCGATTGTAATGACACCAAAAAAACGAAATTTGATGGAAAACTGACGGAATTATGCTCTCGCGAAGTTAGCGACCTCGGTGCTGTTTACAAATTGGCGATTTCGCCCACTTTGAGCCCTATTTTCGGCTAATTCCGTTGTTCCAGTCGCCCAAACTCATAGCTATTTCTTTAGAACTTAATTTTTTCTATCGATTGAGTACAAGAAACTGCCCATTTACTGATTTCAACTACCTAATAATGTGGTCAGAAATTGCATTTGGCCAATTTCACGAAAACTAAAAAATATGACAATTTCAAAATAAGGTCCAGAATGAACAATGCAGACATTCCTCGCTCTAAAATAACATTTTCTTTGTTCATCAGTCACGTCTCCAGGCCCCTCTGATATTACTCTTGCTTTCTATTTTGAATTTTTATTCAAACAAAAAATATTAGACATACTATTATGCAGACTACTGCAATGCTGTAATAACTGTATAAATAACATCAACCCATTCATGACTGCATATTAGAATGGCTAGTTGGACATTTATTGGACAATGGCACCATTTGTTTACTTTTGAACATTGGCAAAAATCAAACATTTCCCCTACTTTGAGCTCCATTTCTAGGTTCTTTTTATAGCAAAATCAATCAAAATCACCTCTATTTCTATAATATGTTTTCCATTCTATCAAATGAGACCAAGAAAACGAGAATACAACCATAAATACTATACGAAAATAGACCACAAAGTCGGCATTTTAATTAAAAAAAACGGTCGGAGTTTTTTTTTTCTCATTATGCACTGCGTGCTCCAGGATTTTTTTTATATGGTGCACACTGACCACACAGACCCATTCTCTCACATGTGGGCCTACCAGCTTTCTCCTGCTTGATTTGAAGCCACTAGAATTTATGAGTATATATACGTCAAACACGGCACCTCGTAAAACGTATATATACGGCCGCGACAGTCAAAGGGTTAAACTCTATATATGCCTTCAAAACACTTTAATTTAATTTTTAATTCAGCTTCATACATCACCCTTAAAAAAAAAACCAAGATAAACCCGTGGACCCCTGGTTTACAATCAGCTCCCAATGTGACCAATTATGTAAGTGTATTTATGTAAGTGCATTTATGTAAGTGCATTTGTATGTGTATGTTTGGGGGGTCTGAAATGGACTAATCTACTTCACAATATTCCTTATGGGAACAAATTCGGTCAGTACTGGCACCTGAACATACTTCTGGAATGAAAAAATATCGTTAACCGGAGGTCCACTGTATTGTAGTGCTATGTCTCCTTCAGTGCTAGCTGTATAGCCCTTGTGGCTTAGCGCTTCTTTTTGATTATAATAATAATAATAATAATCCTTCAGTGCTAGAACGTAAAATACCAATGGTACCCCCATATGTACTGTAATTCATGCAAGCTTGTTGCCTTTGGTATATGTACAGTATATATACGGTAATAATTTATTTTTAAAACGCATAAAAAATTATATATTACCGCAAAAAAAAAAAAAAATCCGTGAATTAGCGGGGATTTCCACGAACAATTATTGGTCAGGTTCTCAGGAAAAATCAGCCAGTTACTGAAGCTGCAAATTCAGAACCACGATCTACCGTATCTCTCTCGCCTACGTTCCAGGGAATACAAATCAAGGGACATCAACCGTTCTCAGTAATTTAGGCGCTTTACCGTACTTGTGTTGTGCCGTGAAAGTTATTATAATCATGGGGGAGCACTAAACCCGTAGGATTATACAGCACCTGTGTGGGGGGGATGGAAGGTATTTAGGCTTAATTCAGGGAACTGGAACACAGATCCAGTTCCCTGGATCAAGAGCCCCTCACCAGTGTATATACACCCAGATATACACCTCACAATATATATACACCCAGATATACACCTCACAATATATATACACCCAGATATACACCTCACAATATATATACACCCAGATATACACCTCACAATATATATACACCCAGATATACACTTCACAATATATATACACCCAGATATACACCTCACAATGTATATACACCCAGATATACACCTCACAATGTATATACACCCAGATATACACTTCACAATATATATACACCCAGATATACACCTCACAATATATATACACCCAGATATACACCTCACAATATATATACACCCAGATATACACCTCACAATATATATACACCCAGATATACACTTTACAATATATATACACCCAGATATACACCTCACAATATATATACACCCAGATATACACCTCACAATATATATACACCCAGATATACACCTCACAATATATATACACCCAGATATACACTTCACAATATATATACACCCAGATATACACCTCACAATATATATACACCCAGATATACACCTCACAATATATATACACCCAGATATACACCTCACAATATATATACACCAGATATACACCTCACAATATATTTTACACCCAGATATACACCTCACAATATATATACACCCAGATATACACCTCACAATATATATACACCCAGATATACACCTCACAATATATATACACCCAGATATACACCTCACAATATATATACACCCAGATATACACTTCACAATATATATACACCCAGATATACACCTCACAATATATATACACCCAGATATACACTTCACAATATATATACACCCAGATATACACCTCACAATATATATACACCCAGATATACACCTCACAATAAATATATATACACCCAGATATACACCTCACAATATATATACACCCAGATATACACCTCACAATATATATACACCCAGATATACACTTCACAATATATATACACCCAGATATACACCTCACAATAAATATATATACACCCAGATATACACTTCACAATATATATACACCCAGATATACACCTCACAATATATATACACCCAGATATACACCTCACAATATATATACACCCAGATATACACCTCACAATATATATACACCCAGATATACACCTCACAATATATATACACCCAGATATACACCTCACAATATATATACACCCAGATATACACCTCACAATGTATACACAATATATACACTCGACTGAGTGATGTTGATGGTATATAAAGGTCGTTGCGGCTCCTCACATTCTTATCTAAATTAATAAATATAAAAAAATATATTATTATATTATCTGTAGTTAAAATTAATATTTAATATTTATTTATTCCTAGAAAATATATCATATATTTATTTTAGATTTGGGAAGTTTATATGGAATTTTTTTTTTTTTTTTTGAGAAATCCAGCATTATTTTTATTTTTTTCATTAATAAATTAGCTTATTGCATCATTATAAATTAAATATTTTTTTATTAATAAATTTGCTTATTGTACCATTATAAATTAGCTATTTTTTTCATTAACAAATTAGCTTATTGTATTCATAGTTGCATCAAACTGACTGTATCTGTATCGTTGTATTTCTATCATTACTATATCATAACTAAATAAATTATAAATCCCATCCATGGTAACGTGTATATATTTATAATATATATATAATATATATATTATATATATATATATATATATATATATATATATATATATATAATATATATATATATATATATATATATATATATATATATAATAATAATAATAATATATAATATTATAATATATAATATATAATATATAATATATAATATAAATAATAATTATATTATATAATATATATATATATATATATATATAAATATATATATTAATATATATATATATATATATATATATATAATATATATATATATATATATATATATATTATATATATATATTCATTGAGTGTAAATATCTATTTTTGGGAGTTTATTATCAAAGTGGTAAACCCACATGGGTCATACAGCGCTGCTGTGAAGTGTTAAACCCAAAAGGGCAAGTATTGACGCTCCTGACCAATCACAGTCATCGTTAAGAAATACGAATCAAAAGTCAAGAAAGTCGCGCCAGTCGCATTTTGATACTCATGGGAGCACTAAACCCATAGGGATTATACAGTGCCTGAGAGAATGGTTGGATTTGGGGTTTGAGGAGCGCTAAACCTGTAGGATTATACAGCACATCTGGGGGGGGGATGGAAGGTATTCAAGCTCAATTCAGGGAACCGGAGCACAGATCCAATTCCCTAGATCAAGAGCCCCTCACCAGCATCAAGGAACCTCCCTTGAGGGGATGGCAGTTCCATATCTGTTACTGGCAAAAGTTCGCTCTCACCTGAGCAATGGTGGCTAAAGCTCCCGCTTCACACACGGAGGGCCCGGGTTCGATTCCCGGCGGGTGGAAACATTTCGACACGTTTCCTTACACCTGTTGTCCTGTTCACCTAGCAGCAAATAGGTACCTGGGTGTTAGTCGACTGGTGTGGGTCGCATCCTGGGGGACAAGATTAAGGACCACAATGGAAATAAGTTAGACAGTCCTCGATGACGCACTGACTTTCTTGGGTTATCCTGGGTGGCTAACCCTCCGGGGTTAAAAATCCGAACGAAATCTTATCTTAACCCATGAGGGTCATACAGCACCGAGTAATGATGACAGTTTTTCCGCACGGTAATTCATCTGTATGAATTTGCACCATTTGCATCCTGGGTAACTGCCAGTTATGCTGGAGGTCTGCCAGTCAGGGTGAGGAGGAGGGCCCCAGGGTAGGCTTCAATAATAATCTTTATTTCTACAAATACACGATACAACTTATACAGACCATAGCTGACATCAATGATGTACTGCTACATAGAAAGTTTCTGATTATGTAGAGTATTTCAAGGAAATTAGGTTATGTTCCCAGGATATGACCTACACTGGTCAGCTAACACCCAGGTACCTACTTACTGCTAGGTGAGCTAGGTACAACAGGCCTTTTAAAAGTACTGTACCTGTGTTAATAAGAATACTGCATGCTTTGAGAGAATGGGTATTATTATTATTATTATAATCAAGGGGGAAGCGCTAAACCCGGAGGATTATACAGCGCCTGGGGGGGGGATGTGGAAGGCATTCAGGCTTAATTTGGGGAACTGGAGCACAGATCCAATTCCCTAAATCAAGAGCCCCTCACCAACATCAAGGAACCTTCCTTGAGGGGAGAGAATGGGGAATGGTGGAAATTTGTCACAGATGCTCAGGGCAGAGGTAGATTATTATTACATTTACAGAGAAGCCCTAAATCCTTATGTATCATACAGCATCTGTGGTATGAGACTCAATCACACTGGACCCCAGGAAGGTTCAAAAAGGAGCTGGACAAACATCTAAAGTCAGTGTCCGATCAGCTAGGCTGTGGTTCCTACGCTGGACTACGTGGAGCCATCAGTAACAACCTGGTTGATTATTCCCTGATCCACAACGAGTCCTGGTTAAGGATTGGAAAAAAATGTGGACTAGTTACCAATCATATATCACTCCCTGTGGACTATATAAGCCACTCTCTCTCATATCTGCTATGTAATAATAATAATCCATATACAGTGGTACCTTGGGATATGAACAGCTCAAATCTCAAACAACTATGTAAGTGTATTTATGCAAGTGCTTTTGTAAGTGTATTTTTGGGGGTCTGAAACGGATTAATCTAATTTAGATTATTCCTTATGGGAACAAACTCATTCGGTATCAGCACTCGAACAGCCTTCTAGAATGAATTAAGTTCGTATCTCAAGGTACCATTGTACAGTGGACCCCCGGTTAACGATATTATTTCATTCCAGAAGTATGTTCAGGTGCCAGTACTGAACGAATTTGTTCCCATAAGGAATATTGCTTAATAGATTAGTCCATTTCAGACCCCCAAACATACACGTACAAACACACTTACATAAATACACTTACATAATTGGTCGCGAGGAGAAGGCTGGAGGCAGTGGAGATGTCATGTCTGAGGGCAATGTGTGGTGTGAATATAATGCAGAGAATTCGTAGTTTGGAAGTTAGGAGGAGGTGCGGGATTACCAAAACTGTTGTCCAGAGGGCTGAGGAAGGGTTGTTGAGGTGGTTCGGACATGTAGAGAGAATGGAGCGAAACAGAATGACTTCAAGAGTGTATCAGTCTGTAGTGGAAGGAAGGCGGGGTAGGGGTCGGCCTAGGAAGGGTTGGAGGGAGGGGGTAAAGGAGGTTTTGTGTGCGAGGGGCTTGGACTTCCAGCAGGCATGCGTGAGCGTGTTTGATAGGAGTGAATGGAGACAAATGGTTTTTAATACTTGACGTGCTGTTGGAGTGTGAGCAAAGTAACATTTATGAAGGGATTCAGGGAAACCGGCAGGCCGGACTTGAGTCCTGGAGATGGGAAGTACAGTGCCTGCACTCTGAAGGAGGGGTGTTAATGTTGCAGTTTAAAAACTGTAGTGTAAAGCACCCTTCTGGCAAGACAGTGATGGAGTGAATGATGGTGAAAGTTTTTCTTTTTCGGGCCACCCTGCCTTGGTGGGAATCGGCCGGTGTGATAATAAAAAAAAAATAATTGGTCGCATTGGGAGGTGATCGTTAAGCGGGGGTCCACTGTACTTGATAAAGCCCATGTTGGGTGAAACACTACACAAATAAGAACTTTGCTACATGTTATGATGTGTTATTATTATTATAATCAAGGGGGAAGCGCTAAACCCGGAGGATTATACAGCGCCTGGGGGGGGGGATGTGGAAGGAATTCAGGCTTAATTCGGTGAACTGGAGCACAGATGCAATTCCCTAAATCAAGAGCCCCTCACCATCAAGGAACCTTCCTTGAGGGGATGTTATGATGTAAGTATGGTATTATAATTTTTTTGTGGATACAGAGTACTGTATGCAAAACAACCAGTGAAAAAATAGTGAAATTCCCAGTACTTTTACGATTTCTTGTATTATCATGAGCCTTGTTAAGATCCTTTATGTGAGAAGTCACAAAAGCATTCGGAATTTCACTATTTTTTGCACAGTGGTTCTTTTGCATATTGTGATGTCACTTGTTTACTGGGACCTTATTACATCACAGTACTGTATATTAAAATTTTTATGATTTAAAATCATGTAATTAAACATACCTAGAGCAGGACAGTCATGACTGCCACCTTTGTAATTTAGTTGTCAGAAACTGTCATGACTGCCACCTTCGCAGTTTAGTTGTCAGAAACTGTCATGACTGCCACCTTTGTAGTTTACCACCTTTGCAGTTTAGTTGTCAGAAACTGTCATGACTGCCACCTTTGCAGTTTAGTTGTCAGAAACTGTCATGACTGCCACCTTCGCAGTTTAGTTGTCAGAAACTGTCATGACTGCCACCTTTGCAGTTTAGTTGTCAGAAAGTTTTAATAAATAAAACTTCAACATGAAGGATTTAATTATTTTAATAGAAAGCTCTGCTAGAAATCATACCTAGATAATGACTTTTAACATCATATTCAGTAGTGGCTAGAGATCTCTTTACACAGAAGCAACAAGCCTAAACCTTTAGTAAATCTAAACATTGTAACAATTTTAATAAAACTGCTTAAATGAATCATAAAAAAACATGTATTATTTTACCAGAAAAAGGTTAGTTTTATTTTTTTTTAGACTAATGTGATTTAGATAACCTTCAGAAATGCATCACAATATTGTAGATTACAATTACAAATCATTTTCCGATAGTCCCTAAAGAAATTAGAGGTTAAACTGTAAAGCTCATTCATTATACGTCTAGAAAAAACATAGAGGTGCCAAATGTGCTAGCAAAGCTAAGTCACAGTAAGGCTGGAGTGGTGACTAGGAAATTCAGAAACGTGTACGTTTCCTCATGCCACCATACAATAGTGTAATACAGTACCTTAAAACCTGTTAGTGACAGTATTAAATCAATAAATTAATATTATCCATAGTATTAATATTCAACAATAATCAATAACTTTGTATTGTATGTACATGTACACTTGTACAGAATTTTCTTCTTCAGTTACGTGTTCATAATGTTTAATTTGATTACTGCATATTATTATTATTGTTATTCTTGAATTAAAAATTTTCCATAATAATCACTAGGATAAAAAAAAAGTCACAATGCAGTGACTGCCACAATTCACAAAAAACTTTCATTTAGGAAAGGAACTTTATGAGGTTTTGGTCCATTC